TTTGCCTCCCAGCCAGGAAACTCCTTGTACATGGGCACTGGTTCCTCTTATTACCAGCTGCCCAATTTACTCCCAGACCCTCATCTGGTGTTCCCTGTGACTACTGACCCTCTGCTGACAGCCGGCACCGCCAGCTCTTCTGCTGCTACCTCAGCCACCGCCAGCGTCCCCTCATTCATGCTAAACCCTTCTCTGGCAGGGGTGCTGCCCAATTACTCGCTTCCCTTCACGCAGTCACTCCTGCCCGAGCCCAGGATGTTCGCTCCTTTCCCAGCCCCCGTCTTGCCTAGCAGCCTTCCCAGGAGCATGGCATCTGCCTACCCTGGCTACATGTCCCCTCACTCGGACTACCCAGCTGGGGGTCTCCTTCGGTCCCAGGTGCCTCAGTTTGAACCCCAGGAGGTCCCAGAGGTGGGATGCAGCTCTAATGATGAGGACAAAGACGACGATGTCATAGAGATCACAGGGAAATAAAAAGGCCCAGCTCCTGCTCGGTCTCAGCTCCGCCAGGACACAAAAGTTGCAGGACCTTTTTGAGAGTCAGGATTTTCCCTCTGGGCCACGGCAGTGGGTGGAGAAGGATGCAAAGGGTGTGTGGCGTGGGGGTGGTTTTGTTCTTTTCGTTTGGTTTTATTGTTTTTTAGCTGTCGAGAATAAGAATTGTATTAGGGGCTGGGAGATGGAAGAGGGATAGAATGGACCTTTGAGAGCTGGGAGAGCAAGAGCCGGGGAGGAGGGAAGCAGCAATGCAAACTGTAGGAGTGCCTCCCCCCACGCTCTGTCTGTCTGTCTGTCTCTGTTCTCTGTCTTGTCTGGCCATGGAGGCTTGGTGTTGACAGTCACTGCCCTTCTCAGGCCTGGAGGTGCGGGCTTGACCGCTGGCAGGGCCGAGCTCCCTCTCACATGAACTGCCTTATCTGTGAACTTCTCTCACTGCAAGAGGGGTGGGCCGGGGGTGACTCCACCAGAGGTTGGGGACAGTGTTTTTAATGGGGAGGGAGTGGGGAGGCATTTACATTGTGTATGTTGGGGCAGGGAGGGAGGGGATTGATGTCAAATAAAAGAAGAAAGAAAAGAAAAAAAATATATAAAAAAAAAAGAAAATACCCCACAATTTGTCACCCTCTTCAAATTCACATGAGACTAGTGGGAGTGGAGGGCTCCAGGCAGGCTCCTGTGCCAGGGCTCTAGTGGGGGGCTCCCCCAGGCCCTTCTGGAGGGTCCCGTCCAAGGTAGGTTGGCCCTGTGAGTCTGATGCCACCTTTGTGTGCTAGGGCAGATGAGTGGAGCAATGCTACAGGCCTTGGTGGCCATCGGAGGGGAATCCTGCTGACTTCCCTGTATCCTGCCAGGCTGTGTGAAGGCCACGTCTCACCCTGCTGTGGCCCACCAGATCCAGGGGTGGGTGGGCTCGCTGCTTCTTCTGAACAGCACCAGGCAGTGGAGAAGGTTGGGAGGGGACACTGGACCAGTGCCAGTTGCTGTTGAATCTGTGACTGGAGAGACTTTCCCCTGCACAGAATCTCTACGTTAATTTATTTCATGAGGGCATAGTATTTATTGTCTGGGGGAGTCTTTCTTTCTACTTTTAAATTAATTTCCATATTAAAAAAATAAAAAGCTGGCCTCTATCATGTAGTGGTCGCTTGTTGGATTGTCTGTGTGGGGACAGAAGCAGATGATTGGCCAAAGCCTAGCCTAGGAGCAGGGCCTACCATGGAGGTGGCCTGTGGCTGACCCCAGTGGCACCGGTTGGATGTGTTCCATCAGGACGTTCTGCCAGAGCAGGAGCTGCTCTGGGTGCTGAGCAGCTGGAGGGAGGATGGAATCCTCTTGTCATGGGGTTGGTGGAGGAGCACATACGGAAGCCTCCTGTGCTCATTCCCAGTGAGAAGGAGGAGAGCTGTGAGGTTATGGAGCTGGGAAAACAGAGCTCTTGCTGGGGAAGTGCCTTTCCCCACACAGAGAGTGGCCTCCCTGCAGAGCCTGGCCCTGGCCCTGCCAGCGAGCACCCCAGCTGCTTCTCAGGGTCAGGGCTCCTAGGGAGAGGCTGGGATACCCAGGTGCAGCTGGACTTGGAGAGTGTGTGTGTGTGACCACACTGGGACAGACACTTGAAATCCAGGAACCTCCGTGTCACATCTGGGTATCGCCATGCAGGAGCTGTGCTCGCCTGTGTTGGATGGCCCTGGAGCTGGTGGTAGCCCTTAGGGACCCCTTGGCCATGGAGGCTGCAGTCACTGGTGTTTGCTGGGACCAACTAGGTGTAGGAAAGGGCAGGATGTCCTGACATCCTCCACCAAAGGGGTGCTGGAAGATGGGGACCTCCCTTCCTTAGAGAGAGGGTTGTGTGTGCACGCGTGTGTTACGGAAACACAATAAAAAATGTTATGGGGCTTTCCTAGTGTCTTTCTCTGTTTAATGGACATTGTCTGTCAAACATAACCACACCATTCATAGAAGCCTTAGATCAACAGTTTAGCTATGCAAATTATTTTAATTATTTTTTTAAAGAAAACAAACATTAAAATAGTGCTTTCTTCTTTAACATATCCTAGGAGTTGAAAACCGAGGGGTTCTGAGCAAACTGCTGGACAACTTGTCTTTGGATGCACCATGGAAATAAAAATCAAACCCCCCCACAAAAGTAACAAAGCAAATTAACTGATGGTGTTCATGCAAGTTTCTCCAAAGACTTGACAGTGCTGCATCTGTGAGTCATGCCCTCCTGTGCTCTGTGTGTCCACCTCATGCACTACCCTGTGACACTGATTGTATGACCAGCTTGCCCAGATGTCCGTTGCATCCCTGTGAGGCTGTCAGTTTTCCTGTGGATTTGGGGAATGGACCTAAGCAAGGGCTTTCCTTGTCGAGAGTAGCAAGTGTTGAGACCTGTGGGCACGTGTGGGAGGTGGGAACATGAGCAGATCCCCCAGAGCCCTGCGGCTGCCCCAGCCCTTCCTGTGGGGCTGATCCACGGGACCCTCCCATGTCATCTCTGAATGGGGCCTGTGCTGGGACAAGGTGTGAAGATGCTGGGGGCAGTCAGCACCGTGGTCTGGATGTGGTTCTGGTGACTGCACACCTCTCTGCTCCTTGTCTCTCCAGGAGAGCGCCCAGGGCTTCCAGAGCAGGCCCTGGCACATCCCTGTGCTGCCACCTGATGTGCTCCAGTGGTCCCGCAGCAGAGCCTGAGCCCTGTGGCTGTAGGAGCTGAGGACAACTGCCATTCTGCTGCCACAGGGTGCAGGATGTGCTTGAGGCTGGCTGTTAACCCAGCACCAGGGCGAGGTGTGAGGGCTGCTCCACTTCCTGTGTGGCCATGGCTTGCACACGCCTTGGCACCCTCCTGTGGGTGGCTGCCCCGTGCGTGACCTGCTGCTGGCAAACATCCCTGCACAGAACGTGCCCCTGTGCAGCCCCAGCCCAGCTCTGCCCCAGCCACCAGCCCTGGGCCCCCCGAGGCAGGGGATGGGCCCTGGCAGCCCCTCGGCTGAGGTGGTCACAGACATGCCCTGGCCACAGCGCTCCCATGGGAGCTGGCAGTGGCTGGGGCTGCTCCAAGGCACCTGCTCTCTCACAGTGCCATGGGAAGGAATTCCTCTGCCCCACAGAAGCCACAGGGGGGTGTGGGTTATTCCCAGTGGGAAGAGCTCTATAAGCTCTAAAACTCCCCTCCCCTGGGGCCTGCTCTTCTCCCTCACCTGCTCTCCCCAGAGATTTCTCCTCTCCAGCATGTGACTCTGCTGCAGAGGGTTGTCTCTTGGTTTTACTGAGCTTGAAACAGGGGCTTTCCCTGCACTGGTTAAATTCTTCTTTTGCTGCTGAATTTCTGTCTCCAAATGACCCGATGGGAAGCAGCTGCTGGTTCTCAGAGGGGCTGTGGGTGACACTGAGGATAGCAGCACAGGACCCTCTTCAGAGGGTTTTGGACAGTAAGGAAGATATCTGAGCACAGCCCAAGGCCAGGGCAGATCTGTGGGGACCTCAGGAATGGTCAGCTGGCCGTCTATGCTGGCACCCAGCACTTGGGCCTTGCCTTTGGTGGGAGGTTTGCTCTCCTGGGGACCGGGTGAAGGCTGGGTACCACTGTGGAATAGTGCCATGGGCACAGGGCGGCTGCTGCTGCTCTGTGCCCTGCGCTTGGTGGGCTTGTTGCTCCCACAGCTGATGTGCCTCTTGGGGCTTCCTGGGGAGCTGCAAGGTGGGCACAACACAGCCCAGCCTGGCCCATGTTGGGCAGGATCTGCTGCACATTGTTCTGGAGTGTCTGGGTGGGTGGGGAGGTTGGGTGCAGCTACTTGGAGAAAGCAAATATTCTGGCAAGCAAAGGGTGGGATTTCCACGGGGTCTTCACTAGAAATGATGTGCATTTTGACTTAATGATGTCAGTGAATCATATAATGCTTTGGGCTGGATGAGACCTTAAAGATTGTCTTGTTCCAGCCCCTCTGCCATGGGCAGGGACACCTTTCACTAGACTAGGTTGCTCCAAGCCCTGTCCAGCCTGGCCTTGGACACTTCCAGGGATGGGACAGCCACAGCTTCTCTGGGCAACAAACTCAAGAGGCTGAAGGTGTGAGGATTGTTGCTGAGGATTGTTGCTGGTTTGGGGGTGGCTTCCAGGCGAGCAGGGACAAGAGCAAATACCTTCACATCTGGTATTTCTTGCCACCCTGGAATAAATGTTGTTGATCCAGTCTTGGAAGGACCACAGGTGGGGGAGGGCTGGGGTGGGGGGCAGAGGTTGAACAGGGACCATAGTCCAACTAGATTACAGTGAGGGATGGCTCCTTGCACCTTGGAGCAAGTGCTCCCTGTGAAGGGACGATGGGGCAAGTGAGGGAGAGCAACCTCTGCCACCTCCCGGACCACCACCACTGCCTCGGCTGCTTCATGGTGCCTGGCTCGGAGCTGGAGTCTGGCATGTCCATGGGAGCCTGAAGGAATCCATCACTGAGTCTCATTTGGGGTTTTCTGTTGGTTTGGGTTTATTTTTCTTTTTTTTTTTTTTTCCTTTTATTTTCTTTTTTTTACTACCGCCTTAGTTTGTGGCCTGTCTTGTTGTGGTTGGAAAGAGTATTGCTAGCCAGGTGGGTCAGTCGGTTGGCCCCACGCATGATCATGTGCTTCCCTCTTCTCTCTGTCGAACGGGATGTGCTCGCCTGATCTCCCAGAACAGAGACTTTGAACAATTTGTTGTTTATATGATGTATTTATTTTTACTTGTGTTTCATGTCATTTTTTAAAAAAATAATAAATTGTAAGTTGGTATAACTGCCTGTTGCTTCTCTTTTTTTTTTCTTTTTTTTTTTTTCTTTTTTCCCAGTAAAATAAACGTCAACATGAAAAAAAGGAAAGTGGTGTCATTTGAAGTGGGTTGGAGCTGGGCTGGGCATGAGCATCTCTGCACACCTGGAGCCTGGCCTCAGCCAGCAACCGTGTCCTGCTGCTTCCAGCAGCACCTGGGCTCCATCCACACCTCGGCAGCCACCCAGGTGAACATTCTGCCACCTCCAGAGCAGAGGGAGGCATCACACGGCCGGCCCTGCTTGGGCTGGGTGCTGCGGGAGTCACGGAACCATTGGGACAGCTGGCCCTTGCCCTTCCCTGTCCCCTGCGCTTATTGCTGCTGCTGATCATCAGTCAAGGCCAGGGGAAAGCAAGGAAAATAAATATTCTGCAGGTAAATAGCTCTGAGTCTCGGAGAGGCGGCAGGGGCTGCGTGCCCTGGCCCCGGTGCCCCGTGGGGCGCGGAGAGGCCGCGGGGCTGGCGGGGCTTGAGGTAGTAACAGCGAGGCGGTTCTGCACGGGCAGGAGAGAGGTGTCCCGGAGCTGGAGCCGAGGAGAGGGCCCTGGAGAGGCCGGGGGGAGCTGTGGGCAGCCCTGGCTGCCTCTGCCCCTCACAGGCGCTGCGGGTGCCTCCGCACCCGGCCGTTCTTGCTGTCGGGGGACGGGTGCTGCCACCTGTGCCAGGCTCGCTGCCGCTGCCGCTCCTGCAGCCGCAGGGCATTGCAGTAGGCGTCCAGGCTGGTGCCCGGTGCCCCCAGGGCCCGCGGGAAGCCCTTGGAGCCCGGGTGCAGGTCAATCCGGGGCCCGGGGCTCTGGTGGGTCCCGCCCGGCTCAACCCCCCTGCTCCGTTTGTACGGCGGCAGCTCCGTGGCCTCATATCTGATGACGCGGAGGCCGTACCGGGTGAGGAGCCGGGAGAAGGAGCGTTCCACCGCCTGGCACTCGTAGGTGCCCACGTCCTCCCTCGACAGCTGGCGGATCAGCAGCCCTTGCTCCAGCACCAAGAAATGCCCGTTGTTCCTGACCTGAGGCAAAGCCAGAGCTCGTGGGTCAGTCCCTGGGGATAAAAGCCGCCCTGCCCCTCGTCCCCGCTGCCCCGTCCCGCACCTCGCTCGGGGCTGTCTCCGCGCCGCGCCGCGCCAGCCAGCGGATCGTGACCTGCGGGGAGCGCGCCAGGCACTCGAGGAAGGTCGAGTTCTTCTCCACCCCAAAAACCACCTTCTCCACCGCGGCTGTCCCTGTGCAGGGGAGGGGTGAGTGCCCTGAGCGGGGCTGTGTGACCGTAGGGAGGGCGGGCAGCAGGGAGCAGCCAGCCCGCGGTGGGAGCGCTGCGTTCCCAGCGCGGTGCCGCCCGCCCTCCTGGGCATGGCGCTCCCTGCTCTGGCTGCCCCCACCGGAGCTGGTGCTCACCCTCTGCCGTGTCCTGGCACTGGCTGAGCGGGTCAGCTTTCAGCACGTCCTGGCAGCGGGCACGCCTGTGGGAGAGCAGAGAGGGTGTGGGATCCCCCCGCGGCAATGCCTCAAGAAGGGGGACTAGGAAAGGGTGGGTGGCAGGCAGGCAGAGTGGCAGTAGGGATCTGGCTGATGGGTAAAGCTCCAGGGCTGCCGCTTGCCCTTCCCTGCTCCCAACAGCATCTCCTCGCAGGGGGATGCAGGGCTGGCCCGGGCACACACTCACCTCTTCTCGGTGAGCAGGTGTGGGGCGCAGGTCTTGCCGTCCCAGGTGCAGTAGGGATCCCTGGCCAGGCAGCAGTCGGTGCAGGTTTTGCCGTAGAGCTCGCAGCGGTACAGGGAGAGCTGGAGCAGCCCGTGGGTGCTGCTCACAAACAGCTCCTGCTGCTCGGGCAAGCAGGACAGGAGCAGTCAGAACCCACGGCTGGGGACCGGGGCTGGCAGGGAACAGCCCTGCCCCGTGCTGGGTGAGACACTGGGGGACAGTTGGAGTGCGAGACAGAGCCTGCCGTTCCCTTAAAGCCCTGGCAGGATCACATTCCCTAAGGTGCTCCCCCTGGGGCCAAGGGACCCGGCAGAGTGGCTGGGATCAGCTGGCCTCTATCCCTGTCCCTGGACTGCTTTAGGGAGAAGCAGAAGGGACACTCACCCGCTTTGGTGATAACTTCATGTCCAGGATGGGAGAAGGTACCTGGAAGGGGGAACAAGAGGGTGCTGCAGATAGGTCAGTCCCTCCTGGGGGCCCCAGCCTACCAAGTAGGATTGTGCCCCCAGGGGTTACAGGATGCCAGGTCCCTGGTCACCTGCTCCATGCAAGGAGCCTGGGCGCTGGGCTGGCCCTTCTTGGCATGGGCAGCCCTCCTTTCAAACTTGAGCTCAGCCCTCCCATTTCAGTGTGGGCTCCAAAGTGCAACCCACATGCCCCCTGAGGGACTGAATGGGGAGCTGGAAGATGACTTGGCTCCAGTCCCACTGGCACCCCTCAGACTTTTTCTGCTGCCCAGGGCGGGTGGGAGCCCCTAGCAGTGAGGTGAGAACCTCCCTGAGAGCAGCCAGTGACTTCCTGCAGAGCCTGCAGGGAGGGTGTCAGGGCCACGGGTGGCTGTGTGGTCCAACCCTGTCACTTCAGCCCCGTGGTGCCACCCTGGCTGCCTGTACCTTAGTGACGGTGATCTCCTCCAGGCTGATCACCTCGGGGCCGCGGCTCACCCCGCCGGCCAGGGCCACCTTCAGGACTTTGCCGTCATCTGTGAAGGCAGCGGGCGGAGGATCTGTCAGGGCTGGGAGGGACCGGAGTGCCACACAAGCTGCCCCGCGGTGGCAGCGCTCCCAGAGGCGGGTGAGCTCCCACCTGTGCCGAGGAAGAGCACGTCGTACTCCCGGCTCTCCGCGTCCAGCCGGTGCACCAGCAGCCGCCGCAGCCGGTAGGGCACATTGACCCGGAGCAGCACGGGCTGCCGGCCCTGCGGGTACACGGGCTCCCACATCAGCTGGTGGCTGCGCACGAAGCTGATCAGCTCGTCGGGGAAGTCCTTGGTGGACTGCAGGAGCGGGTCGTACGTCTCGCTGGGACACTGTGTGACACAGGGGCTGCATTAGGGCCAGGCCAGTGCGTCCCACTGCCCCTCCCGCTGCTCGCCATTCCCTTACCGTGCCGGGGCGGGGGTAGGGGACACGGCCCTTGTATTCCACCCAGCGGTAGTCGAATCCCTCCTTGTGCGCGAAGGGGCCGCTGAAGGCGGCTCTCACGGCGGCCATGGAGTAGATGCAGACGGCGGAGCCACTGAAGACACCGCTGTGGGGAAGCACAGGGCTCTCAGCGTCCCGGCTGCTCCGCGGGGACCAGGTGTATGCACAGCCACCCCCCTGGAGCCCACGCTGTCCCCTGCCAGCCCTGGAGTCACGCACAGCTCCGCGGGGGTGACAGGAATCGCTTTGACACAGCCAGTGCAGCCCGGGTGGAATGATGTGCAGGTGAAGCAGCGGCAGGGAGGGCAGGGAAATGCTGGCGGCCCTTCCTCAGCCAGCTGGGTGCTGGTGCTGCCCTTCTCCCCACAGAGCTCCCTGGGGACAGCGCTGCTGAGTCCACGCAGGGACTGTCCCACATGAGGGTCCTGCTCACCTGGAGACTGTGAAGAGCCCAAAGATAAGGGGGTTCTGGGGGTCCCGGGTGCGCAGGAGGAAAACATCTTCTGCAAAGAGAGGGGTGGAGGTGAGGCACAGGGTGCAGGTGGGCATCCTGGGGGTGGGCTGGAGGGAGCAGCCACGGTGGAGCTGCATTCCAGGGCCGGGCACTCACCCAACTGGTCGAAGTGGGTCTCAGTGCCCTGGGGCCCGGGGATGGAGCACACCAGGCGGGCCTTCAGGAACGTGCTCCAGCGGTTGATGAGGCTGCGCTTCCCTCCAACATCGTTCTGCCAGGCACCAAGAGCCGGGATCAGTCCAGCCTCTCTGAGTCTCCTCCACTGCTGTGGCCTCCTCATTCCCACAGAGGGACACCCCCAGCCCTGAGCTTTTTGCCTGTTGTAGGTGTGCAGTGACACCCTCATATTCCTCTGATTGGGGTGCTCCTTGGTCCACAGCAGGTAAAAGCCCACCTGGTGGGACAACAGGCCACAGCGTGTTGGCCCTGAAAACTGACCTTGCAGACCCTGGCCACCCTGGCATGGATGTGCCGCTGCTCCCACTGCCCAGCGTCCATGGCCGTCTCACGGAAGAAGATGTAGACTTTATCATCGTGGGGGTTGTAGGTATCAGGGATGGCATAGGCACCAACAAACGTGGGCTCTGAGGGGAAGGAGCAGCACGATGTGGCCCTGTGCCCTGATCCCACCCTGGGGTACTGCCCTGAAAGCCCTTGGGAACAGCGTGGGGCACTGAGGGGACAGAGGCCCATGGAGACCTGGCTTCCCAGGAGGCAGAACACCATTCCCGGAGCTCAGGCTGTGGAACATGGAGCATGAGTCCCACCAAGGGCTTCATCAGTGCTTTCCCCCAGAAGGGAGAGAGGGCCTAGATTAGAGCTCTGGCCCCAGCCTCTCCCCAGCTGGAAGGAGAGGCCCTACCGTGCAGCCAGTGGTCCTGGTTCTGCTCCGTGCGGATGTAGCTCTGCTCGGCCCCGTGCACCCAGGTCCGGAAGAAGGCAGCGCTGCTGCCCATGAAGTCACTGGAGGTGCCCGAGTACAGCTCCCCACCTGCAGGGTCAGGGGGTGTGGGTGGGAGCAGCACCTCCCAGCACAGGTTGTTCCCCGCACTCCCCTCCCAACATCCCCTCTGCTCCTCACTCCCTCTTACCGATGAGGAGTCCCGTGAAGGGTTCGTGGGGGCTGTAGGGGCATCGTCCTCGCCCCGATTCCAAGGAGTGGGTCACCAACTGCATACGGGGAGCCCTGGCACCCTGCCAGAGCCAAGGGGGAGATGTCAGCCCAGGGGGAGCCTGAGAACAAGCTGGAACTTGGGGGAAAGAGGGGAAGAGGATGGGAAGGAGGTTGGTGTGTCTGTGATGAGTGGGCTCTTCCTGGGGAATGCCAGAACCGGGTCCCATCCTCATTGGGACACCCTGACAGCCCCAAGCCAGATCTGCTCTCTCCATGTGAATGCCAGGGACTGCTCCATGCTGGCCACCCTCCCGAGGCTCTGGGGCTCCCTCTCCCCCTGCTCCCAGGGAGAGGGGTCTCTTGTCACTTTCTGCTCAGGGCTATGTCAGTCCAGGGTGTCCCTCACCTTCCCCCGGGCTCCCAGCTGGATGAAGGCACAGACAGGCTGGTAGGAGCCGGTGCCACAGGCGAACACGTGGCTCTGGTTGAAGGGCTGCAGGAGGCGGATGAAGTTGGCACACTCCGTCTGCGCAGGGAGGATTTTGTCAGGGCTGAGCTGTGGTGACTGCTGGGGGTGTGGAGCCTGGCCAGACCCTGTCCTGGCAGCTGTTCAGCTGGGCTCGGCTCTGGCTGGCTCCACAGTGCCATTCCAGGCAGACCCCCAGGCTCCGTTTCAGGGTGATGGGGTTGTTTAATATCATTGCTGAGCTGCCAAAGGCAATGGGTGGGGGCTGCCAACCCTACTTTACCTCCACGTTCTTCCCTGCCAGCTGGCAGTGCTTGACCTGCTCCCTGGGGGCTGGCCAGAAAATCTGAAACACAAAGACCCCGCGGGTGCAGCCCCTGCTTCCCTCAGCCTCCCGTGGCACCAGTGGGAGCAGGCTCAGCCAGCAGGCACTGCCAGGCTCAGGTGCACAGTGAGGACATGGGGCTGCTCTGGCACAGGTCTGACACCCCCCTAAGTCCCCAGGGCCCAGTGGGCAGCCTGCCAAATCAACTCAGAGCGAACCTGGCATGGGGACAGAGCCTGGGCGTGCCGTGGCCCACCCAGGCGGTGGGCAGGCTCTCCTGGATCCCAGCCCGTGGGAACACCAGCGCCTTAATGGGATTTTCTTTTGTTGGGCTCTGGCCATACAGCCAGCCAGCAGGATGTCTTGGGATGACATTAGTGACTCGCTGCTGGAGCTCTTGCAGCAGCAGCAGGGACTAGGTGTGACAGCAGAGCTCTGGGCACTGCCTGCAGTCCACCCAGGTCACACCTCCTGGCCAAGCCACCCTGTCCCTCTGGCGCCAGCCCTTCCCAGCAGGGCTCAGCTCCACCAGGGATGGGCTGACCCCACTGATTGAGACATCCTGGTGCAAATGTGTCCCTGGTGATGTTAGAACAGCCCAGTTCAGAGCACATCCACCCCCACGCCCTGGCACTGGGACAAGGAGTGGTTCCCAGGGAGGAAGAGGCCAGCCTGGCCAGGGCCACCATCCTCCCAGCACTGACCTTCTCAGGCTCTCTGCTGGGATGGTCCAGGTGGAGAAGGAAGATATGGTTTTTTGCTCCCACCATCAGCCAGGCTCTGTCTTCATCCACCAAGAGGGTTTGGAAATCCATCTCATCCCCTGAGGCCAGCAGCAGCCGAGAGCTGTTGGATTTCAGCAGGTCTGAGGAGCACAAACAAGGTGGAAGAAAGAGAAACCCATCCACGAATGACACAACTGCAGCCAGAGGCCCCATGCCTCCCTCTCTGGGACAGCTCTGGTTACCTATCCTTGCTCCAAGGGTACACGACATTCCTGACACTGCCCTGCCAAAACCCACCACCCTTGGTGCTCCTGAGCTCATCATGGAGCCTCCTCCATGTGCATAGCTGAGGGGAAATATCACTCCTGCAGAGAGCAGAACTGTGCTGACCTTGCCCTGGCTGGGCCGGTTTGCAGGTGCAGGGCAGGACAGGGGTTCAGCCCCAGTAGCTCGGGGTGCTCAGCTTCCAGCCTGCCTTCCAGAGGAGCTCCTGGAGCCCCAAAGCCACCCTGAAACCGTGGGCAGAAGATGGAGCAGAGAGGTGACTCGCTCGCTGTGACTCCTGGCGTGTTTTCCCCGGGCTTCAGATCAAGGGAGTTTACATAAAGAAGGTTTTGCTGTTGCTGGGGCAAAGCCTCTCTCCAAGGAAAGGCTGTATAGAAACAGAGCCAACACAACCTGCTCTGGACACCCTCTGCACCCACCCCTAAGCCTCTGAGCCTGTGAAGTGGCTGCTGGGCTCTACCCCATGTCAGGCAGGACGGAAGCACTGGGACTGACCCTTGTAGGGGAAATCCCCATCTGTGCCTCCAGTGCCATCCCAACCCAGCACTCCACATTTCCCACTCTGTGTCCTGAGGCACAGCCTAAACTCAGCATTAGACTGGGAAAGATCCACGGGTGCCACGACCCAATGCACTCCTTTGGGAGCAGAGACAGGACGGTGGGAGAGGCTCCGCTGCTCTGGCTGCATCTCCTCCCATGCAGCAGCCGGGGTGGCTCGCCTGGCCCTTCTGGCACAGTTGTGGCCATGTGGGTGTGTGAGGAGGACAATAAGCTGTTGTGTTGGTTAAAACTCCGGAAACAACATCCCGGGGGCCAGTACTGGTCCGTGATGTGCAGTGCCAGGTTTGGGGGCTGTCTCTGGGGCGAGCCCCCCCCATACAGCAGCAGCAGCAGCGGCTGTACCGACACGGGAGCGAAGCAGCTGCCACCCCCCAGCCCTGCTCCCGGGGGTCAAGAGGGAGAAAACCAGCAGTGAGGCAGTCCTTGGAGCTTCCAGAAGTCACAACACATCTTTTCCCTCTCCAGAAGTGACAGGACGTGGCTGGGGATGGACGTGGCTGGGGATAGAGGGCAGTGCAGGGTAACGGGCAAAGGTGAGGCCATGGGAGGGGGAAATGGAGATGGGCTGCACTGGATGGGAGCTGAATGGAGGTGGAATGTGGCTGGAAACTCAAGGGCTGTAAGATCCAGGCTGAAAGCCTGCCCGAAGTCGCATGCAGTGAGGCAGTGGTCAGGAGCAGAGGCAAGGAGGTGGTCGGGGGAATCGCTGCTGGCCAGGCAGACGTGCGGCCCCGGCTGCAGGTGGGGCTGGACGTGGGCACAGGCACGGCTGCATCCAAAGGGAACCGGCTGGCCCGGGAGCCTGTCTCAGCCTGTCTCACTTCCTTCCACTCCTTTTCCAGGGCAGAGGGGAAGCGGGGCCAGAGCCTGGGGCTGGAGACGCCACTGACGTCCGCTGGTCCCTGCTGGGCCAGGCGTGGGTCCCTGTCCCGATCCAGCAGCCAGGCTGGCTCCCAGCTAGGCTTCCCTCTCCCCTGCTCCGGTTACACAAATCCTCCTCTGCCAGCAGCAGCTCCAAACCACATCAGGGAGCTCCTGGCTCTCCTCCTGCTGCACAAAAACCTCACAGCCCCGCTGCACTCCCTGCCTTCCCTCGCATGCCCAAGGGCTCTCCTCTGGGCACCAGAGATACAGGGCAGAAGGCTTCCAAGCCATTTCCCACCAGCTGAATGGGATTAACAGCTGAATTCTTGTCCCTTCCTGCGGGCCATTGTCCCTGCTGGATCTCCAACAGGGTGCGGTGCACCGTTCACCCTCCTGCGTCTGCCAACGCTCCCAGGACCTGCCTGATCCGGGGGAAATGTCAGGCAGGGCTCTGGGGAGGGGGGCTGGGGTGGGAGGGCAAAGGCTCATCCAGTACATGAGTGTAATTAAGAGGAATGGGTACAAGCCTGGTCCTAGTGAATGTCACTTGCTGGTCACTGTCTGACCTGCACCAGCCCTGAGCGAGGACTAGGTCAGGCAGGGCGATGGAAGAGCCTCTCTGCTGCCTCTGGTAGTTCGTGGGAGAACCCTGGAAGGACTCACTGCCCTGCATTTGCTCTCTCTGGCAGGTTAATGACCAGGAGGGTCTGAGCCTGACCCCATGGCTCTGCTCTCTGCTCCCTCACCAAGGGGACATTGAGTGCTGGGATCCAGACCCAGAAAGCTGCTGCTCAAAACCTGCTGCTCTTGTCACCCTCGGGTCATTAGATCCAAACCCAACACTGGAGCCAGGGAGCCAGGGGGGCTCTGCAGCAGCTGTGCCATGGCCAAATCTACGGGTGAGCCCAGAGAAACATCCTCTCCTTTGTGCTCACTATCTCCCAAGGCCACGGTGTTTGTCTTTATTGCCGGGACCGCTATGGATGGCCTTGTCCCATCCATCATCTGCTCCTGCCCCTCAGCCCAGCATCCCCCGTGCAGGCTGACCCTGAGCTTCCTGGGGTCACAGCCCGGCTGTGCCGGAGGGCTGCCCTTTCCCCTTCCCCTCACCAGGCACAGCAGCGCACGGAGGAGATCCCTGAAACCCAGGGCAAGCTTGGTGCTAAATCGGGCTCTGGCCCCTCAGCGCTGTTGATTGATAAGGGACGTGCCAGGGCAGCCCTGGGAGTGACAACCAGGGCAGCCCTGGGAGTGATAACCAGGGCCCCGCGACCTCCCGCGCTCAGGAGCGCTCGCTGTGTGGTGGCAGCCCCTGAGTCCTGCCTGGCTGCAGGTCAAGGGCTGCCAGAGGAGCTGTTGGGTCCCTGGGATGTTCCTGCTGCTGCACAGCCTGGGAAGGAGAGGCTGGGCTCAGGCAGCACCAGGGCTGGCCCAGCCTGACCCAGCAGAGCCCGGGCTGCCCCTGTGCGCTGTTGGAAACTCCTCCTCACCTCCTCAGCAGGGCTGTTCCTGGCCCCGTGCCCTGTGCCCCATCCTTCCTGCGCTCTCTCGCTGCTGTCATTTCCTTCTCCCGACCCTGCTTACGTCTTCCCCCCGCCCCACCGAGGCCTCTGTGAGGCTGATCCCATGGATGGACTCTCAAAAGCCTCCTTTTATTTATTTTTTTTTCCTAGGGGTTTCTAAACCTAAACTTCTCAAGGCATTGTGTCCTTGAACCTGCCCCGTGCTGTCCATGAGTCACATCCCTTCACCATTGTTCACTTGGTGCTTGAGCCCTCCTGATGCTGGGAGCTTCCTCTTCTGCCTCAGCCCAAGGCGTGAGGGCTTTTGGCATGCCTGGCCCGGGACCCTGTGGGGCTCTGAAGTCAGCAGTCCCCTTTCCCTCAGCTGCCCCAGCAGCCCCATCTGCCTCCTCTGGCTCCGAGGAAAGGCAGAGCTGAGCTGGGCTATCAGCAGGGCCATCTCCTCACACGGGTATCCTGCACCCCTGGGAGCTCCAGCCCTCTCCAGCCACAAAAGAGCAGCATCTTTCACTGTGCTGGCTGTCCCTGCCTGGAGAGCAGCTTCTCAGGGTGATGGAGTGGGCCAAGAGCATGGCCCTGGAGCGTGGAGTGCCATGCCCATGGGAAAACTGCTCCACCCTCTCTCAGGTGTGGAGAGGGCTGGGCCAGCCCTCCCAATGGTCACATCCAGGGCAGCACTGGGGATGTGCTGAGCTGCCATCCTCCAATGAAAGCTCATGCTCATGCTGTTTTTCACACAGGAGAAGCTGAAAGCAGCTCAATTGGCCACATCCATGCTGCAGGTTCATGGCAGGGTGAGAAGCTGCCAAGCTGGCAGGGTTCTGCTCTAGCTGGTCAGGCCATTCCCCTGTAGACTTTCTGTAGGTACTCCCTTTCCACACTTCTCTGGGCTGTGTTTTGTGCTACCTGTCAGTCTGCCCTTGCTGCATTGTCAGGTCACCAAAGCAGTCCCACTCTGCATCAGGCTTGAGAGGAGCAAACTGCCTCTCCTGAGGAACTCATCATCCAAACAGAGAGACAGATGCAGGGAGGAAGGGAGAAGTGCAGCAGGGAGATGATCTGAATGGGGAATCAGTCTCTCCTGGCAGAAGAGGAGGGTCAAAAGCAGAAGGGCTGAGCTGGGGTAGGACTGTGGTGGTGGGAGGCAGAGGAAGAGGCTGGTGAGTCTGTTCTGGGGCTCAGTGTCCCCGTGAGCAGAAGGCAGGGGACATTCCCCAGTGGTACCCAGTTCAGCCCCAGCCCAGGACACACAAAGAGAGGTCCCCAGTGAGTCTGAGCAGGAGGACAGATCCCCTCTGGTCCCAGTGTTCTGCTGGATCAGGGCAGGGCATTCTGCAGCATCCCCAGGGGGTGTGCTTGGATCTCCACCCCTGAAACATCCTGAGGTCCCAGAGTGTGAAGAGATTACAGCCACGACCACAGGGCTGTCTGTGTCCCCAGCCCTGAGCATCCTTTTGCTCCCTGGAGGATGCTCTCCCAGCCCTCCCAGGCAAGGTGCAGACCCCGAGGAGCCCCTTACCTTTGTAGGTGAGGCGAAGGCGTGGGGCGTGCTGCTTCCATGCCCTGCTGCTGCCCAGCTGCTGCAGGAGCAGGCAGAGCAGGAGGGTGGCCAGGGGCAGCCAGTGGCCAGGGGGAGCCCACATGCTGGCACAGGGCAGGGGCAGGGTCTGCTCGCCCTCACAGCACCATGGTCCAGCGCCGAGACGCCACCTCCAACGCCGGCTGCAAGCAGAGAAGGGGAAAGGCTTCAGCTGTGGGCACTGGGCCAGTGTGGGCACTGGGGAGGCAGCTGTGGCTGGGACCCTCTTACCTTCCACCCCCCTGGGAGTTCATGGGGCAGCTATTCCAGCCTGCCTAGGAGAGGTGTGCAGGGTGATGCCAGCGTGCCCACATCATGTGGTACCTGGGAGAACTGGGATTTGGGCATCCTGGAGGTGACTGATGTGAGGGCATAGTACCCTCCCACCCTCCAGTGGGCTCTCAGAGCTTGGGCATGCTCTGCTTGATATCTACTCAGACTCCAGTGCTTGGCAGAGCCTGGTGAATAATCCCTAATATTCATCTGTTCTCAGCTTGGGGTTAAATCTCATCCCTTTCACTGAAAGGGGAGTTTATATTTTGGAACACCATCCATAAATGCCATATCTGTGATCTCCCCAATATCATCTGTGGCTCTCTGTGTGCATGACACATCTCTGGCTAGGATCTGTGCAAATTCCTTGTCACCACAGAGCTTTCTGAGGCCACCAGCATCTGCTGGCTCCAGGGTGCTGTGGGTTGGAAGGGCTTTTTAACACACACACCCTCCCTTTGGAGGTGCACAGGGGTTCACAGCCTCTCACAGCAGCTCCCACAGCCCCTGCCAGGAGCAGGGCAGGTCTGCCAGCTCTAACCACTTAATCCAGGCTACTTAGATGATTTTTCTCCACTTAATAAAAAGCCTGGTCCCTACATGGCAGCTCTGACTACTCCCCCTCTTGCTGCATATTAACTTCTTCCAGTCCCATGACTGAAAGATTTAAAATGAGGTTTTGGGCTCATCCCTGGCCAGAGGCTCTTGGCACAAGGAGCAGAGGATTCCTGCCATCCCAGCAATGGGATGTGGGAGGATGGTGGAGCCAAGCCTTTCCAACTGCCTTGCACAAGAAGGAGTTCTCAGCTCTGCATAGGAGGGAAGTTTTGGGCTGGTGGAGTTGGGCTTTCTCTCCCTCCCAGCAGCAAATTGTGGTCAGGCTGGGGTGCAGCTCCTTTCTTGTTCCTTCCCTGCCTTCACTACTGCCTGGATCTCACTCTGGTCAGCACAACACGCTGCTGCTGCTCCAGGTCCTTCCCCTGTACCGGGAGACCTGGCACCACTCTGGGACAGGGATGTGACCTCAGGGTGGTGGCTGTGCTGTGCTCTGTTCCTCTTTAGTTTGGAGCAGCTCTCTCCACCCAGACAGCCCTTCTTGGGCACTTTGCCACATCAACCATTGCCTTGGGAGGGGAAAAAACATCCCATAAGCATGATGGGTTTAGGCAGGTTCAGACTGCTCCTGGATTGAGGAGAGGTGGGGTTCTCTGTTAGGAACCCATCAGCCACATGGGGATTCCCAGGCAGTGCTGCCCTTGCTGCCACAAACACGTCCCCAGCAGCAGCAGTGACCAGCAGCATCTCAGCCCTTCCTTTGCCCAGCACCTGCAGAGCTCTCCCAGAGCCTCCCTGTGCACTCACAGCCGTGCCCTGAGCGAGCACTGCTGTCCCAAGGGTCATCACAAGGACGGGGCTGGGATCTGACAGGCAATTTTTTTTTTTTTTTGTCTTTTCCAAAGTGTGTTCTGTTGCTGCAGGACTTGGGAAAATGCTGTCCTCTCATTGAAGGTTTCTATAAATGGAGCTGGGTCTGTGCTAGGCTTAACTCTGGGCTAAGGCAGACTTGGAGGAATCTTTCACGACCCAGGGGATGCCAGGGCAGGCTGGGATTCTGCAGATGGCAGGCAGGGCACTGCTCCTGCCTCAGGACACGTTCACACACGGTGAACTTTAGGGCCAGGCACGCGCTCCCGTGAACAGCTCGGCTGTACCAGCCCTCCATATCCTGGCCTGGGAATGCCAAAAGCATGGCTGATGGCAGCAGGAGCCACAGCCATGCCCAGGAGGATCCCAGAGCCCTGGCACAGCTGGGCACAGGCATAGGAAAGCGAGGGGTTTGCAGCAGATAAGGAAATAAAAAAACTGCCGGAGGATAACCTCCAGTAAGGAACACTTCCCATGGGTGTCATCCTTTCATGAGGCACATCCACCTCCTGCCACCCAGCTAAAATCCTGGCACAGCCCCCTGAGCCGCCTGTGCCCGCAGCCCCTGGCACAGGGACATCCCTCGCTGTGCCAGGCAGCGCGGGGACACGGCAAACAGATCTGCTGGAGGGGAAGGGCTCGGCAGAGTTTACACGGAGAGGGGAGCTCGGGTGCCTGGCGGATGGAAACAAGCTGGGAATGATGAATCCAGGGTTAAATTAAACACTCCCGACAGCTTTAAATAATCAACTGTCCAGAGCTGCAGCTCTTCCCATCTCAGTTTGGAGAGGGAAATGCTGATGAGGGTGGGCTGCCAAGAGAAGGGGAGGCGGGGGGTGGACATTTCATACTCCAGGCACCACAGGACCTGCAGGGGAGGACTTGGGGATGGCAGCCTTGTTTTGGGGGGCTGGCAGTCACCAGGAGTGCCAGGCATAGATGGCACAGGTGGTGACACCACGGTGCTGGGCTGAGGCTGCCAGCAGTCCACCAGGTATACCCTGGTCCCAGCAGCTTCCCTGTGCCCTCCCTCCCTCCCTCCCCTTCTACTGGAGAACTGCAGAAGTGACAGAATCACAGAATGGTTTGGGTGGGAAGGGACCTTAAAGATCATCTTGTTCCAGACGTGGGATGCCACCCACTGGGTCAGGTTGCTCCGAGCCCATCCAACCTGGCTGTGAGCACTTCCACAATGGGCAAGCCACCACTTCTCTGGGCAGCACGTGCCAGGGCCTCACCACCTTCACAGTGAAGGATTTTTCTTAACATCTAATCTAAATCTCTCCTCTTTTAGTTGCAAACCATTTCCCCCTTGACCTATCACTATCTGGCTGTGTAGAAAGTCACTCTCCCTCATTTCTTTAAGCTCCCTTTAAATTACAGTAGGGCTGCCTTGAGTTCTCCACAGAACAGAAGTCCAGCAGGTCTGAGGTTCTGGGCTGTCTCACCAAATTCCCTGGAAAGCCAGAGAGCGAGCAGCCCAGAGAAAAGACAAATCCCTTCTATTTGAGACGTGGGTACAGGAGGGAATAATTTACCCACGAAAGCACCAATTTCCTCCTGCCAAGCCCTTTGTGTTGCAATGCCGTGACTACTTTAAAGCAGCCCAAATTTCAGAGGGGGAAGGGCGCTAGCAGTGGGTTTCTGGGGCTGCAGATGATCTCCGAGAGGGAAGGGCGTGCTGAGCTCAGCTCCGCGGCGATCCCGCAGCACGACCAGCGGCGCTTCCCGTGTGCTGCTCGGGGCCGGTTCCACAGCCCCGAGCGTGTCCCGGGTAATCCGACAGCCTGCTGCCTTCTCCGGTTACCGGCACAGCTGGCAGGGCCAGCGGCAGGAGGCGAAATGCTGCTCCCCAGCAGCTGGGGGACCTCAAGGGAGAGGGCCGGGGGGAGGAGAGGCACTGCTCCCCATGTCAGCATCCATATGTAGGGATCACCCCACGAGGGGACATGTAATTTCTATAGTTTTCCCCCCCTCTCCACACAGCCCCCTCTAGGATCCGACCAGCTCAGAGATATGGGGCTGTGAGGGGAGGGATACCAGGAGAGGGAAAAGTATTCAAAAGAGGCCCTTACCCCAGGGAAGTTGGAACAGCTCTCTTTATTCTGTGGTGTCCATGGAGAGCGGGGCAAAAGAGAAAGAGCAGGAAGTTTCAGGGGTCTATATAGGTTTTGGACAGGGTGGGCTCTCCTGGCTCCCTGCCAACCCCGTTGGGGCAGGAAGGAGGATCCAGGGGTTATCTTGATCAGAGCCACAGAGGCCCTGGGGAATGGGGGGCAAAAGGGTGTCCAGGAGCTCACCGTAACAGGGACAGAAGCGCTGGGATAGACATCGCCGTGAGAGAGGGGACCCTCAGGGAGCCAAGACCCCCTCCATGGGGCTGGTGCTTCCCAAAGTTCCCAAGCATCCAATCCCTGGCTCCCAGACGTGAGCCCCACGCTCCTGAGACTGTCCTGCCTCTCCCGGCATAAGCCTGGTGCGGGTGGTTCCCTCTCTGCCAGTTTTGGGAGCCGGGACAGAGTCACAGCCTGGCAAGGAAACTGAGGGGCAAAGCCAGGGAGGTGCAGAGGACTCCGCTGGGTGCCTGCCCGCGCTGCGTGCCGTGGGGACGCGGAGCCACGCGTGAGGGGAGCGGGCACAGCCAGGCTGCTGGCCCCCTGCCCTGCCCGCAGCTGTCCCTCTTCCTAAATCACCGCCTGCCCCCTCCCTGCTCAGCCCGGGGCTGTGGCTGTCCCTCTCCATCCCTGCGGGATGATGGATTCCCCGGCAGCTGCAGGCAGAGGCAGCTGTCGACTTTCTCCAGTGGAAGGACAAAGACACATGGGTGAGCCCTCCCTGCCTTCCTCTGAGCTGCCAGGCTGGGGCAGAGCCAATCCCCGAGGGAGCCTGTGGTGCTGAGTGATTTGTGGGAGGAGGACGTGACGGTCCCGCTCAGTGACATCAAAGCTGGGACCGCCAAACCAAGTGCCAGAGCTTGGGTGGCACTGGGACATCACGGTGTGCCCTTGAAGCATCGGGGTCTAAGCAAAACCTTCAGTAGCAAGGTCACACGTGGCCACACAGATCCGCAGAGATCGAAGGGAGGAGATTTTTGGAGGGGTTGGATAAGGGACTGCTGGGGATCAGCAGAAGGCCGAGGCTGCTCCAGGTTCAGCCCCATCTCTGCCATCACACAGCCAGGGGCCAGCAGGATCCTGTCCAGCCGGGACATCACTCCACTGCCACCTCCTGAGATTCAATCCCCTGGCTGCACTTAGCCCCAGACCACCCTTCCTTCCAGGCATGGAAGTGCCAAGCACCACGGGTGGGGACAAAAGCACCCAGCTGCTGCTGGCACACTGCAGACCCTCGGGATGTCACCCCTGCCAGCCAGGGGGCTCCTCGCCCATGGGCACTGGGTGACAATGGCACTGGGGCAGGGACAGCCCAGGGGTCTGGGTACTAT